CCCCAAAACCCCAAAACCCCAAAACCCCTGAAAAGATAGATTAAATTGGAATAAAAATATATTAGGGAGGAAAGAAAATGGTATGGCATCCAAAATTTGGTATTTTAGATTTTTTAGTGAGAAGTTTGAGTGGAATTACCATTTTGAGTTTAGAGTCAAGAGAGGAATAATCCATACAGTCAGATTATTTTGGAAAGACCTGAGAAAATGGATAGAATGACGGTGAACAAATTGAGAGCTGCTTTGAATCTCAAAGTTAAGAATAAGTCAAGAGGTAGTTAAGAAATATTTTAAAAACCTCACATTTTTATAGTAAAAAAGCCGTTTAATATCAAAAATGTAAGTTAATACCATTTTCCATTAGCTCCTTACAATCTTATCTTTTTAACTTTAATCATAGAGTCCCAAAAATACAACAGATTCTATCGTGCTAGGATTGCATAAGAACAGTTTCTACAGATCAAGAGATCGTCACTGCACTTTACAAGACGTCTGTAAAGCTGATAGACTTAGTCAGGAGTACTCCAGAACACAATCTGTAGGTAAAGCCTCTAGTAAGACCAACATCAAGCTTGGTTTTGCTAAGCCTGAGTATAATTCATCCTCAAGAGTCAACAACAAGGATACTATACACAAAGCGTTACAGAGCATTTATCGAGAAAAAGCTGGTCAAAAGAGGTAAGCTAAAACTCGATTTTGTTTAGAAGAATCAAGCTGAACAAAAATCGCAGTCTAATTCTTGGCAGCAAGATTCACAGATCTGATTGGGAAGACAAGTCACCCACCAAAATCAGGGAAATGGCTAGAAGAGAAAGTATTGAGTCAGAAAAGGCCAGAACAGGTATGTTTTAGATAAATTTTTGTAGCTTCTCTTTATTCTATCAGAAGCAAATCTGTGTCAAAGGGATTCGATAGAGCTTCTAACTATAAAAGCTCTATCTTCTTTGGCAAGTCTTCAAAAGTTGAGTCAAAGCCTAAGAATTTGGCTCATCTCAAAGAGAAAACTTTAAATAATCTCAAAAATGATGAATTCTCAAGATTGAAGTTAAGAAAAGATTTGAAACTTCAGGGGAATAGAAATCCGAATGTTAGTCTTCATAAAAACCAGATAATGACACTTTGGATGAAAAACTCTCCAATCTTACAAAACAAATCCGAAAAACTATAAAGAAAGACAAAATTACCAAAATCACTAACGACCAAAATCCAAAACAAGTCCCTATATCCCACAAAATCCAAGACAAAGCAGTTCACTCCTTCATGCACAAGCCTAATGTCCATTTTGACCCTGTCAAAGAGCCCTTAAAAGCCCCTCTAAACTCTTCGGTCAACCCTAAAATCCCCCTGCAAGGGACCCTTCCTGACCTACATATTCCTTACAAATCCTCAGTTCCTCTCATGCTCCAAGGTAATTCCCACTCTCACCTCCAGCCACTGCCGATTTCACCACTACAAACATGCACTCAATGGGTTCAAAGCCCTCGGATTCCTGATTGGCTGAGGCCAAGACTAGGAACAATCTAAACTCGTATTTAAAAATCGAAGAGCAAAGGAATCATTTCGACCTTGCAGCCAAGAATGCACTGGCTTCTAAAAAGGATCTGAAAAGTTATTATACTGAGTTTAAAGGAGATCAGACGGAATTAAGACGTAAGAAATCAGACCTTGGAGACCCATCTCAGTGTAAAAGTAGGAGGGAGTTTTGGTGATAATGTAGGGATTAAGTTAAGGAATGAAAAGCAGAATTTTAATTACTACAAAGACGGCGGCATCGGTACTTCCATCCTCACCTCTAGGCTCTTCCCAACCTCCCCAAAACACCCATCTCTACACTACCAGTACCAAATCCAGTCTTCTGAACCTAGACCCTACCAAAATCCACTACTCAGCCGACTCCCTCCAAAAAGACCCTCTGCCCATGGACTACTGGAAGACCAACTTTGACCTAAAGATCAGAGACAGTAAAAATTCCTTCCTGACCTAGCCCAAGCTGGCCAGCTTGGACTGAAGAGGGAGGAAAGAAGTGTGCTGTTTAGCCCAGGTGTGGTAACAAAACCTTTCTTCTAACCTCTTATCTCCAACTCTCGATCAAATTTTTCAAAAATCCTTAAACAGACAAACAGGCTTGGCTCCAATACAAATTCTGCAGTGGCCAAGGCTAAACTGCAGATTTATAGGAGCAGCTGGCTTAGCAGCTGGAAGAATTTAGGAATAATTTCAATTATAGTTGAATTGGTAGGGGTTTTGGGGTTTTGGGGTTTTGGGGTTTTGGGG